ATTTTTTTTATATGAGGGGGGGGGGGGGGGGAATGTAAAGAAAACACTCTTTCTCCCCAGTTTTGATAAGTTGTTTTTTTTTTAAATAGCACAGCTAAAAATAATTAATTTATTTGTCCTTTATTAGGAAACCCCTCAGATCCCTAGGATTTCAGAAATATTTCTGTACTTCTCTGCCTAAAACTAAATGCTAACATTTTTTTTTCCCCCCCTCTAAACAGTACTTTTCAGGAGTCCCTCCAGCGTTGACTCCTCTCTCTTCCTGTCCCACGGAGTCTGTGCGGGTGCACACTGCCTGCATTGACTTACCTTGCGTGTCTTCTGGTCTCCCGGCCGAAGATCTGTACTGCGCATGCGCCCGCCCCAAGATCCTTTGCGGCCGCCTGGGAAACTTGAGATCTTTGGACTGGAGCGAAATGGTGGAGACAAAGTTTTAACCCTTTTGAACGTTTTTTTTTTTTTTATGTTTCTGCATAGCAGAATATTGCAATGAGGGAGTAAAATAAAAAAATTAACCCTTTAGGCTGGGTTTAAACCATTTTCCGGACCAGATGTGGAACATAGTGCATTGCATTTTTGCCGCGATTTCATATGGAATAAAAAAAAAAAAATGTAAATTTATTTTTTTGCTTCAAATGGTCTTACAAGTGCAGTCGACGTTTTTGATGCGTTCCTGTGCATTCCAGGCCAGACAAAATAGGATATGCAGTATTTTTCTGGTCTGGAACGGACTGCGCTAGTGGGAACAGTCTGCTCTAGGAGGTAAGGGGTTACTTTTTATAATTATAGTATAAAAACATATTTATATATAATTTTTACACTTTTTTTATGTCACAAATCGCATTATTTTTTAAAATTTCTATTATTAGGCAGCTCCAAACTTAGGAACAGCCAAGAATAACCTTAGTGACACTGATCCTGACAGCATGTCAGGATAAGATCTCACTATGGCTCCATTCACATATAGAGTTGGTGTTTCCCACGCTGTTATACGCGTGGATGACGGCAGGGCATGCAAACGCTAAAATCTTTACAACTGCACGGATTCCGCACGTATGCAGCGATCACTATTAGCCCAAACGTGCGGAGTCCGCCATAAATTAGCGCTTGTACTATTTTGTGCCACGCGGCGGCCGCCGCACATGCCTGAACGGTTCACATTAAAGTGCATTTTTAAAAAATGTTTAGAGCAGTTCCGCGTGAATTTAACAACCGCTCGTGTGTGAATGGAGCCTAATGGCCCCCCATCGTCTCAGGACGATCAAAAGCCTTGAAACAACGTTTCAGCATAGAAACATTTTGCTACATTCCTATGCTGAAGCATGTAGCAAACAGCCAGTACAGATCAGCATTTCCCAATCTGTACGGAGCTGTAAAAACTGTGATAGCAGAGCAATGTCAGCCGCACTGTCAGATACCTGATCGCTGTCAGCGATGGGTATCTGTAAAAGCTTAATTCTTTCATTAATGGATCCTCAGTATTGAGGCATCCATTAATGAACAGTAACAGCTGATCTCAGCAGTTACCGGCATTTCAAAGCCCTGAATAGCTACAGTGTACATGGTCATTTGGGCAATTCACGATGGGGACGTACAGTTTATGTGTCCAGTCGTGAAGGGGTTAAAAGTACTAACCAATTGCAAGGCACAAGAAATAGATCAAAACTTCTTAGCTAAAATTGCCAGCTATAGAATAATGATTTCAGTTTAGTAGCTCCTGGGAATTGAAACCTTAAATGATCTGCAAAATCCTGGGTGGTTTCTGCTATTCCAAAGAAGAGCCAGATTACATAATCAAGTACAGGTTTACTTTACTATCAGACTCGTATTGCCCTTTGTTAAGGAACCAATGTGAAATAGGTCAATATGTGCAGAAATGTCGATCAAGTTCTTCTGAATTTTAAGTGAAGATCATGAGAAAAAAAAAAAAAAAGTGTAGGGGCCACTGCTGAAGGCCTCCTGTGAAATGCTAGATGCCTGGCTGTCTTTTGCATGTTCAGTCAGTCTGGAATAAGCATGCAGTAGGGATGCACCGATATATCCGCCCCGAAACATAGCCGAAAATAGCACTTTTGGCTAAATCGCCGATACATCAACTCATCCGTGCTTTCTTTCTTCCCCGCGGGGACCCAGCCGGCCGAGCGCTGTGAGCGCCCGGCGTCACTTCTCCCACACCGCTCAGCCTCCTATCACAGTCCGGCAGAGCGGTGTGTGGGCGGAGACAGCCTGCGCTGTCACAGGAGGCTGAGCTCTCCTCCCTGCACCTCCTGCGACAGGGAGTCAGAGGGAGAGCGGTACAAACACTCAGTGATCAGTGAGTGTTTGTAGATAATTGAGGACATGGTATGTTGACTAAAGCCTCAATTATGAATGAATGTGAAGTGATCTACATTACTTCCTGTTCATTCATGATTGAGGTTATAGTAAACACACAATGTTCTCAAGTTATGAATGAACAGGAACACTCAGTATAGAGGATTCCTGTTCACTGATAACAGGGGACACAGAGAAAGAGATTGAGGACTCTGTGTTCTCAATCTCTTTTAAAGGGAAATATCAGGGGGCTGTTTAGACCCCCAATATTTCTCCGAAGCCCCTAAAACATTTTTGGTTTCGGCCTGACAATTTTTTTTAATTTCGGCTTTGAAATTTTTATTTCGGTGCACCGATAGCATGCAGTAAAGTGTTAATAAAAAAAGTGTCTACTTATCTCTATGCTTGTTCTGGGTCAGCAACTTAACAGTGAAGTCAATGCATCAGAATGACAGTCAGGGAACTAGCATCCCTAAAAGGAGCATTCAGTAATGGCAGACTCCATTAATCTCTCATGACTGTCCCATTAACACTAGTACAGTGTACAGCTTTGACAGTACATTCCCTTCTGAGTGTTTCAGTTGCTCTTCTTAAAAGTAGTCTTAACAACCCTCAAAAGCACCAATTTTAAATTTTCAGGGTTCATATGAAAGATTAAATCCAGCCAGATGTATGTTTTACCTAATGCACAAGATAGGAGGAACATTTTCCTTGAAATGGTCACCATAAGACAGGAGTCCCAATAATTATTAGTAGACTACAGTGTTGATGGTTTCGATTTCAATAGTCTTTTGAGATGACATGTGATGAATATTTGATCAAGTAAATCAATATATAGATTTTTAGTGACTTTACCAACTTTGGGGGGGGAAAAAAGCTGCACCTCGAACGGAAATTCTGTCTTCGAAAAAATCCTTGTTAAAGGATATCCCACATTTCTCCCCACGTTTCCTGTAGGACTTGGCTTTCTGGGAGCAGGTGGTTTTTGTTTTTTTTGTTTTTTTATTGCCATGGTACATGTAATGTCACCTTTATAATGTATGTCTGTGTGCTTTATTTAGCATCTGTGAACTATTAAAGGCACAGAATTCTTTATTTATAAAGAAAATGTCTCGGAATACACAGTTTGTGTGAAAGGCTGTATACAATGCTGTAGGGGGGCAGGATAAAACACAACATTGGATGTGTAGAAGCAGTTTACAACTGAATAAACCTTTCCCCCCACACAGCCCAAGACAACCTAATAAAGAATTACAACAGTAAAGATTGATATTAACAACAACAACTATGGAAAATGTTAGATTGGTTATAAACCTGGCCTCTCTAATCGCCTCCTTATGTGCCTGGAACATCTTGACGTTGTTCATGTTAGACTGCCAGTACTTCACATATCCACCGTGGTCAGCAGTCAGCATCCACATGTCATTGTGTGACCAGGTCATAGCTCGGACTGGGCTGTCATGAGCCTGCACATAAAAGACAGGAGATACAAAGACAAATTATTGTTCAACCCACTAAGTATTCAGGATTACAAAATCTATTTTAGAGGGTACATGGTATATGGTATATGGAAGCTGCCAAAGCTAACAACCTGGGAGAATCTGATCAGATTCACATGTTTATCAGGCAGATCTTATAGGAAGCCCAATGTAGCTCTTTGGGCAGACCAATGTAAAAGGACGTGTCCCCATTTACATCAGAGTACCCATGACTCAGTCTAGGTCTGGGGGGGGTGTTGGGTGCAAGATGGAGGTAAAAACTGAAAAGGACATTGAGGTGTCCAAGAGTGACATCTGTTCCGATCAGCAGGGGATCCGTGCACGGATCCCCTACTGATCAGAAAGGACAGTGCCCATGCAAAAGGGGCCTTATAGTTCCTTTCATATTTAATGAGTCATTGACCCAGCACAGATATGCAGGCCAGGTATTCCGATACATCATATGCTCTAGACTTGCCCGAGACCAGCAGTTTACAAAAGTAGTAAAACAATGGCATAAACAGTGGCTTGCCTGAACTTTAAAAACAAGCAATGGCACTCATGTTTATAAACTGACAGATTTTAACCATCTCAGATAGTGGTCTGTATTTTAGCCAGATTCAAAGGAAGTGAAGCAGACTCCATCTTGACATCATTATTCTAATAATTAGACTAATTATGCCTATGTCACTGTTATGATCTCTAGTCTCTTGTTCTATTTTAACACAATTTTCTCAAAAAGTACTTCAACTAAATTCAATAACTTAAGCTGGGCATAGATGGCTCGTATCAGATGACAAATTGTTAGCTTAACAATGACTGCATCTGATCAGATGCAGTCATTGTTGGGTAGCACAATTGTATTTAGGAAGCCACAGGTGCTATGGCTGTCTGAATACAATGACGATTCCTCCATCCACACTTGGCATTGATGGGGGAATCACGTAAATTTCTCGCTTGAGTACTGAATGGCTCAAATTCAAGCCGTCTATGCCCAGCTTAGGTTTAGACAAAATTTGACAACAAAGCAACATTTATTCTTAAGGATAATTAGAAGGTTTGCATATAACAAGCATAATAGAACACCTAGACCAACAAATCATGTACAATACACACCTGTAAAATTGTCTCAAAATTAAACGTCAGCCCATTCCATAAAGTGAACTCTCCACTTGAGGCTCCAGTTACTAAGCGACGACCCTCAGGAGTCCACTAAAATGAAGCAGAACATAATAACCAAAGTCAAGACTGCACCATAAAACATTTAGGGAGAACTCTGTCTCAGCTACAATGTACAATCTTAAACACCTTTATAAAAAGGATACTTACTCTGACTACAAAGACAGGGCATTTCACTTTGTTGGTAGAGGTCCGCACAAACTTTGTAGTGACAGCATTAAGTGGATTATTAAGCATTCCAATAGGAGGAACCAACTACAAAAGAAAGAAAAGAAAAAAAAAAAAAGAAAAAAACTTAATTTCTTACAATGTTCTTTTAGTTTTACCATGGACATCAGATGACAGCTGTCTGCCTTTGGCAGGGTTAGATGAGTAGGGTGATCAATGGCATCCTACACAATCTCTTAAGACCTAAATCAGAACAAAGCCTGTTACTGCCTGTCTACATCCAAAAAAGGATTCCCACATTCACATTAACATGCTTAAGCTACAAACAGACCAGTTTCTGTGTCAAAAGAGCTGGGCACATGAACTTTAAATGGAAGGAACACATTCCTACGATCAACAAATCAACTATAATGTATTAATCAGCGTTGTTTCATGAGAAAAAGTCAGGGTTGCAAATGATGTAAGCAAAAACACATCAGGTAGTTAAAAATGGCTCACTCCCATTGACTTTATATTACTGTAGAGGCTTTCGGTGTCAAGATTTATTTCATAGTGCAACTGGCAACTTTAAACCGCTATAATTAAAAGAGCTCCACAAGGAGGGAAAGGGACTCTTTAACCCTTTCGCTGCCAAGGACGTATGGCATACGGACCTACAAAAGTGCTTCCAGCTGGCCAGGTCAGTATGCCATACGGACCTGGCATTTACAGTTCTACTATAAGCTGATGGTCGCTTTAGCAACCATCAGCTTATAGTAGAACTGTTCAGCAGACTGTCCCCTTTCAATTAATAGCTGTCATCAGCGGCTCACAAGCCGCTGATGACTGCTATTACCAAAAATAGCGGGCGCCATCCCCCCCCCCGCCGGCACCGCCGCCGGCATCTGGAGTCTCTCATCCATCCCTGGAGCCATCCCAGGGAGGGATGAGAGACTCCATGGATCCCCACTGCTTGTAGGGTCTGTGGCAGCGGGGATCCGTACAAAAATCACCGGCGGGGGGGTCGGGGGGGTCCCGGGAACGAGCGGCGGCTGGCCGCATTTCAGGATGGCAGCTTTCAGAAAATATATGGTTTGGGGGGTCTTTTACAAACGCTAGCAACGCAGCAGTTGAAAATCAAATCAATAGGAAAAAATTGCAGAAAATTCAAAAATGGCTTGGCCAGCTGATTTGAAAAATGTTCCGGAGGGCTTGGCAGCGAAAGGGTTAAAATGCACCTAAAGTAGGCTAAATTTATTGCAGGAGAGACATTGTACATCATAAAAGCTTCTGCCTTACCTGCTAGCAATTTACACTCTGCAGCTGCACTTTCAATTGATTACTTACATTTTCATTTACACGTATTCTCTCCCTTTTAGAGCACAAGTGAAGTCAGCAAGCCACCACACAAAAGGCTAAAGCACGTATGTCAAAACGGTGTTTTTTCAGCAACATGTTGCCCTCTTGCTCCTTATTTGTAGCCCTCATGGGTTTAAAAATTCGAAATGAAAGAGCCCAACTATGCTACAGTATAAAACTATACATGAAATTTTGGTGCTCAATAATTCAAGAAAAAAAAAAAATGTATGGCTCCTTCCACTGATACAACATGCTGTAAGCATCATTATTACAACATGCTGTAAGCATCATTATTAGCAAAGTGCTATTTTCGATTTCTAAAGTAAATTTTAAAAAAGTGTCCCTTGAAGTCCTATTCTATTAGTTCAGCCCATTGTTTTAAAGTGTATTTCCGGTTTCACAGCTAAATTGGGATAACAACTATTTTATATTTGGTACATGTTGCCGTTCACATAGCATAAGCAGAAAAAAATTTTTTTTTAAAATGCTTCTTGCACTTTGAAATAGCTTTTTCTTGGATTAGGGTTTCTACTTGCTTCTTTATGATGTTAGGGGGGGTGGGGTTGTGCTGTGTGAATAGGAACACAAAATATATAGTGGTGGTTTTCTAAAAAATTTACTGCAAACGTGGAAAGTTTGACATGCCTGGGCTAGACAATCTTATAACACATCTGAGTGCAGAAAATTGTCACATATGTACCGCATAGATTACATGGAAGAAAACTAAAAGGCCATATGACAATTTGCCCTCCTCCTGTGTGTGTCAGTTAACACATCTGAACTGAGACACTGACTTACATACAATCTATCATTACAGCATTCAAGTAGGATAGAGCTAGTGCTGGGTTTTCCATATCATGGAAGTAATGTGCATGGATAAAATATAAACACAAATATAAATATAATTATATATACACACACATTATTAAATCTCGGATGGATCTGATACAAGGACAAACAAAAAAAGATAAGTAAATGAAAGTAAACACTCACGTCATTATAGTATCCAGCATCTGGCTGGATGGCTCTCATGTCTCTCTGATCTCTCTGCCATACTCTATTCTGAAAGAGAAAAAAAAAAAAAACACTTAAAACATAAAAGAATGATGTAACTAAAACCAAGCCTTGCAGTAATTGTAAAGGTCTTATATTCCATACGTATGTGCGCATATGTCCAGATTCCTAGCTTCACCTACAGCCTGTGAAGGCTGCAGAGTTTTAAATCCTATTTAGCTTGTTCCATGCAAGTGACTCACAATGTAGCAAAAACTAGAATAAGAATGCAGGAGGTCTTCAAACACTTTGAAGTGGGAATATTTTCTGGTGGACACCACCACCAAAACCACCAAATATACAGATAAATTTAGAATCTTAAGTAATGACAGAATTCATGACAAATCAATAGGTTGATAGCCACACTTGGGAAAACTACTGATTCCTAAAAGGTATTGTAATAATTAATGGGATTGCCAACACAAAGATAAGCTTCTATTAAAGCATGGCATGGTAACAATATTCTCACTCAGGCTTGTAAAGTAAAGGTGCCCGTACACCTTACGATTATAGGACGGTTTTCGTATGCAATCGACTTTTCATCCGATACCATTAGCCGTGTTATGCTCTGGAATAAGGAATCTGTCCCCATCCATTCTAGTATTTCAAAGACTTTGAGAAAGCAGAGATGAGCCAGACCACTGCTGAAAGTTTCTGGCATACTTGTCATGAAGTGAGTAAGGTCATCTGTTTCCCTCCTCCCCCAGCCTGTGTCTCTAAAGTGACTCTTCAAAAGATGTATAAGCAGAAAGTGGACATTATAGAAGGTAGTCATAGCTTAAGATCTTCTTAAAAATCACTTCTTGAACCGCTGCTGCAGGAGGCTGCTATCTAGAGTTAACTAGGTATTAAGTGCATTAAATTATTTTTAAAAAAACACATGCAAAAAAGGATACCAAGTGGTTAGCCACATAGCAGTGAATGACTAGATCTTACCTCCAAGTATTTGATAACAGACGGGTTGTAGTCTATAGTCTTGCGATTTACAGCCTTTCGCATTCGTTTGCCATCAAAGGTAAGCTGCTGCATGGCCTGCTGTTGTGCATAATCAGGACGTTTATAGAAAAGCTGACGGGGAGCCTGGTGTTGGAAGCGTGGCATGTGGAAGAAACGCGGGGGGGAACCAATCTCAGTTGCCATTTTGGATGTTCAATGGAGGGGGGAACCTTAAAAACAAACAAGCAAGAATCAGTATTAGAGTGATACATTAACAGCAGACTGTATATTAACATAAAAACCAAGGTCAGCAGAGCCATTCAGGGCTGCAACCAACCAGACGATTAATTGATAATAACCGATAATGAGAATTGTTGGCAACTATTCTCATCATCAATTAGTTGATCTGGATGCCCTAGTTCTCTCCTCTGTGCTGGGAGTGGTGTTTCATCGGCTCTGTGTCCTCTCCAATCCCCACTGCTTCCAGCCGGGATCCGAGAGGACAGAGACCCCTGTAGCCGGTGCCCAGCAGTGAGGAGAGCTCCTCCACACCACCCCCTCCTGCCGCCACTCTGCAGCCCTCTCCTCCCCACTGGGAGCCCGCTGAATGCTGCAGTTTGTGTTACCTCTGACCCACGCTTGCTCTCCCCCATACACACAAACACCCACACCCCCCCGCCTGCATTAGCAGAGGCAAGGGGTATCGGAGGGGACACAACCCTTGTCCAGCGGGGAGGAAAGAATGGCTGTAAGCCAACGCCACTGTGACTCTGCAACCTCCCACCCCGTAATAGTCAGCCATTTTAAATTGCAATAGCCAATATCAGGCTGGCTATTGCACCCACCCACAGCCTGTTATCAATCAGCAGAGGAGCACACTTGGACAACTATTTTGTATATAAAATTGTATTTTTTGTCCTATTTTAGTGTGTTATTTAAAAAAAAAAAAAAGTTTGATTATATTGGCTTGGAGTTTTTCCAATTTAGATTTTAAATCCATAAAACTAATTAAAATGTTAAATATGAAACACACAATTATTAAACAAAATAAATGTAGAAAAGGGTGTGAAAAAATAAACTTTTGGTTTCGGTCTGATAAAATCTGCTGCTGGAGGTGCGTTGTGGTGCCATTCATTTCAACAGCAGCCAAAACTCGCCCCAACCCGCACTGGAACGCGATTTAAATGAAGGATGGTTTTATTTGTATATTTTTTTTATCTGATTAACAGAAAAAATAAAAAATCGGCCAACTAATTGATTATGAAAAAAAATTGTAGCACTAGAGCCATTAGCAGAATCAGAGGGTAGCATTAAATGTCAATCCAGACAAACATTCATACATGTACATACTACATTTGACCATGCCTCCCCTCACCCAACAAAAATCCATCACATTGCAAAAGGAAAATATTTAATTAGGTATGGCAATAGATACCTACAAATCACAAAGGCATTAGGATTAGCCAGGGTTATCTGTTTTCATATGCTAGTAGCTCCATCAAGCATAGCATTTGTATTTTGGTAATGGTGGCTATAACTTTTGCCAAGCACAGTAGGGATAAATGGCCAATTGGGTTCATCAAGAAAGACCTCAAAAGTTTTGTGTGCCAAAAATATCAAGTTGTCCACCATTAAGCCATGGAGTTTAATATAGTTGAATATGAAGACAAGAAAATAGGGTACAGATCAGCAGGAGAGTAAGCATTTAAAAACATGTTCAGCTACAAAAACTCTGGAGGACTTGACCTGTCCACTGACTCATCTCCTGGGGTCTTAAGTGGTAACCCGAGTTTGCTCCGGTGGGGTCACAGTGCAATTTTTTAATACAAGTTAAAAAGGAAAAACTACAAGATCACCTCAACAGCGCAGAGACCCCCAATGCATACCACCGAAAAGACATGAAGATATATGAAGCTGGAAGGTTATTCAGTTGCCAGGCATATAGTCAATATAAAAACACGTAAACATCAAGTTTGTGAATTATAACTTTGTAAAGTCTTCATATAACATCACTTATATGCAGCTTTGGCACTGAGCTGCAGTACTTTATTTCTGACCAAGTAATGGAAAACATTCACCTTAGCGAAGAACTAAAATTATAAAACAATTTGTTTTGCAAGGCCTTACCAACACTTACATACACCAAAAATCTTAATTCAGATTAGTCACTTCTACGGTGGCCTACAGCAGACCAGTCTATTTACCAAGCTTTTCCCCCCAAGCGGGTTGAATACAGCAATGCACAAGTGATAGCCAACTGTATTGACTTCTATAGGCTGCCAGTAAATCAAACAGCCTAGAGGTGCTAAATACCTATAATTAATGGGTAGCTAAATATTCCAGTTTTTGCCAGAAAAGGCATAGGAAAACTTGCCAAGTGATGACAACTGTCAATGGCAGGACTTTCACCCGCTTCCATTTCTAGGACAGGAAGAAAAGGGAAAGATCCACAATGTGAGTCATCAATAAAAAAAAAATCTGACAGGTTCTAACCTCTTCCTTTCACTTGTCATCCAAAACTTTAAAAAAAAGGGATGGGATTGAAGGCATTCTATTTTTTGCAAAAATGAAATAAATGCAAATAGGGTGGGGGACCACGGAATGGCACCATGTTATGCAAGGTGAACTTAGCCTTTAAACACACATTTGCCCTGGTACCAACTTTAAAAGTTGCATTCTTCAATTCCCAACCTGCTGATAGATCACAGAGCGATGTTATGATCATAAATGTTAAAAAAAAAAAAAAAATTTTAAATCGTTCTAGACAATCTGGAAAGGAGGGACGTGAGGTCTTGGTAGCTAGAAATAATTATTAAAATCTACATCAAACTTCTGAAGGTAAAGTTGATTTTCACAACCCTATGTAGGGAGTGCCAGAGAGCAGCAACAGGAGAGAGGGTGTTCTAAACAGCTTCTGCCAGTTACTATGCAAAAGGTAGAGTAAACTGGGTATGCAAAAGAAACAGCAACAGCCACTAAGTAAATGCAGCCCTTTTCAGCACCCCACTAACTCATTTCCTGCACATGAAATTGCCATTCATGTCAAACACAAAATAGATGCAATTCAGGATGAGATCTCCATCATCCAGTCACCTTCCCCTATTAATGTACCAGACCCATCACACTTGTTACTTTCCTCTTTTGACCGTCACCACAGAGGAGGTTACAAAACTTCTCTCCGACACCCACCTCACCACTTGCCCCCTGGACCCAGTTCCCTCACCACTTCTTTGGTCACCCTCTTGCTCTATCCTACACTCTTACTCACATTTTCAATCTTTCCCTCCCCTCTAAAGTATGCGCTGGTCAACCCAATACCCAAAGAACCCTCACTGGACCCAACCAACCTCTATAATCTCAGACCAATCTCCTTACTCTCATTCACCTCCAAACTCATAGAACGCATAATCTACAACCTCCTGAGCCGACACCTGATAACTTCCTCGACCCTTTACAGTTCAGCTTTTGACCCCAACACTCCACTGAAACTGCCCTCCTAAAACTCACTAGCGACTTATTAACTGCTAAAAACAATGGCCACTGCTCCTTGCTCTTGCTATTAGACCTTTCTGCTGCTTTTGACACTGTTGACCACCCGCTCTTCCTCAAAGAAAAAAAACTTCACTCGCTTGGCCTACAAGACTCTGCTCTCTTAAGGTTCTCCTCCTACCTATCTAAACGCTCCTTTAGTGTTACCTACAAATCTAACTCGTCGCCTCCTCTTGCTGTAGGGGTCCCAAGGCTCTGTCCTTGGACCTTCTCTTCCCCATCTACACCTACTCGATTGGTCAGCTGCTAACCTCACATGGCTTCCAATACCATCTCTACATCGATGACATTCAAATATATCTCTCAACTCCACAACTCACCCCCTCAGTGTCTTTGCATATCACTAATTTACTATCTGACATATCAGTCTGGATGTCACAACACTTCTTAAAACTCAATCATTTCAAAACTGAGCTTATATTTCCTCACCCCTGTGTACCTTCCCCAACTTTTCCATTGATATAAAAAACACAACTATCCCTCCCTCATGCCAAGGTGCTAGGTGTCATCCTTGACCTCACCTTTCTGCCCCACATCCTATCACTATCCAAATCCTGCCGCCTTCACCTTTGTAACATTTAGAAAATACGCCCCTTCCTCACCAATGAAACCGCTAAATTACTCATCCACTCGCTTGTTATCTCTCGTCTTGACTATTGCAACTCCCTCCTCATTGGCCTACCTCTACACAGGTTATCCCCCTTCAGTCTATCATGAATGCTTCTTCTAGACTCATCCACCTAACCAACCACTCTGTCTGCAAATGAGTAATTTAGCGGTTTTATTGGTGAGGAAGGGGCGTATTTTGTATCACTTGTATTATGCATCACTTGCCCCTCACTTTTAGGTTGTAAGCTATCCCGGGCAGGACCCTCCTAACATCTTATCTGGACTATTGTAACATCTTCCTTATAATGTAAAGCGCTGCGCAAACTGTTGGGGCTATACAAAACCTGAATAATACTGATGAATACATTCACCAATATACGTGACGGAGGCAATAAGTCTGTTGAGCATAAACTGCACACAATGGCAAGTCTTCAAGTTTATTAGGTTTCCTCATCTGATATACCACAAACGCACACGCTATTGATTATAAATGGCCGTGCTTAGAATGTCTCTGGAGACAGCCCAACCCATTCTATGGACATGTTCGTACCGTAGTAGGTCAGCGTACAAGTGTGGAGCTGTAAACATTACCCATGCCTATGAGCGGTGCAGTACTCAGATCACCGTTTGCACCTGTATGAAAGTATATTTTAATGAGTTTTAGAGGCCTTCAAAGTATCTATGAACATGACACAAGTGGAAAGCCCCATTGATTTACTCTTATGTTGCCATTTCTATGATTTCCAACAGCCTTCTAGGACAGAACAGGAGATAGTGGCTCCCCCACAAGGACAGAAAAACAAAATGTCAGGTTAAAGGCAGTCCGTCTGACATTCTCCGTAGTCTTATTGCTCTACCATGTTTTTTTTCTGCCCTTTCTTAGGGTCCCCACACACCTTACGATTATCGTACGATAATCGCGGGAAATCCCACGATCGTACAATGATCGTAAGGTGTGTGGAAGCCATGCGACCTCTACTACTGTAAGGTCGCACGACTTTAAACTTACGGACATGTTTGAAAACCCGCCGAGCATCGTACGATGTTCGGCGGGTTTGTGGCATGTCCGTAC